TCAGACCAAAATCAATAAAAAATTTCTCTTCAGTTTCATCCTTAAAGACATGAGTTGCACCTCTCTAAATCCTCTATTCTTTCAATTTATGTTCTCATTTTTATTTTTTTTTAATAATAGTTTGAAATATCTATGTACTTTTTTTATCCATAATCAATCAAAATTTGATGTTATGTTCGATTCTAAATTATCCTAATTTTTTTCCATATTCATGATTGATCTTGGCAAAAAGAAACCTCAATTTCGTTTAAATTGTTATGTCGAAGTAAAAGGTTACTCACTATTTTCGAGATACATGGTAGTATCCAATATCCGTAGATGATACTTTTTATTTTACTTTTTAAAAAACTTTATCTATTTTAGTCGAATAAATTACTTTACTTATGACAAATATAAATTTATATTATATCTCTCTCCGTCTCTCTTTTTTTTTTGTAAAAAAATATTAGAAATTAAAAAAAAAGTATAAAGTTTGCAGTTTGTTATTAACCATAATAATGAATTCTTGTATCGAATTTACATATTTGAGAAATATCAACAATAATAAGCATTGTTATTTTTTATCAAGTGGCAAACTATTGGTACTCTTTTTATATAAAATATTTAATCACATTAAAGTATAATTTATCTATATTATTTGCACTCCTTATGTATTATTATGAAATACGATAGTATATTTAAACAATATCTATACTGATAAATGTGTTATTTTTTTAAATTAATTCTTCGTGCAATAATTATTTTTTGTTGTTTAAATTATCCGCAATAATTTGACAAATTCTTTTCAAAGCATGAATATTGAAGTGCAAATCCCAATACATAATTATGCATAAACATAATAATTTACTTAAACATACAATTAGTCTCGTTGTTTTATTGATATACTATCCTTAGAAATTAACAAAAAATATTTTTAAATAATAGATATAGTTTTTTTTCCTCTCCAAGATACATACGCGTGTGCGTGTGTGTGCCCCTGTGTTAATATTATGGCATATGCAATCCACATTTCGAAGTATTTTTAAAATAGCTATAATGTTACTCATGAAAGAAGAAAAATAAAAAAACTAATTAATAAAAAATTAGAATGAGAAATTACACTAAGTAATGATTTCTAAAATAAGTATTTATAATAAATAATTATATTTTGTTGTTTGAATTACCTACATAAGAATTAGAAAAATAATTATAAATTTATTCTTCCATCAAAATTAGAGTACTGCAAGTTCTCTATGCATAATTATTTATTTATTTAATTGTAAAGAATAATTTAATTAATATTTTAATGATAGGTCATACATAAAAGTGAGAAAGTTTAATTATAGGTAATTAATGTAGTTAAGGAGGGAAAACAATTTTCACCAAGCTAGGTTACTTCATATGTGTGGGTGAGTGTGTGTTTGTGTGTGTGTTAATATTGTGACATGAATGCACACTTTGGGGCATTGTAGAAAATAAAATAAAGTTTTCTTATCCAAGTAATTATGTTACTCACAAAGGAAGAAAATAATAATAATAAAAAAAAAAACAGAGAAATGGATAATTGGAATGAAAATTCACACTAAACATAAAAATGGATAATTGGAATGAAAATTCACACTAAATAATCATTTATAAAATAAATTTTTATAAAAACTAATTATATTTTGTTGTTTGAGTTATATTCATAAGAATTCACACTAAACAATCATTTATAAAATAAATCTTTATGAAAATTGAAGTGCAAGTTTTCAATCCATAATTAAGAATAACATTTAATTATTTATTTGTAAGAAATAATGTTTGCATATTGTTTTAATGTGTATGCACAATTTCCTAAAATTGCAATCAATATATTAGGATTAGGGCATCTCCAATGGTAATAGCTATTACTAGCTATATGGTTAGCTGACGTGGATGTGAGAGATAAGAAAAATAACTATTTTACATTATTGGACTCACATACCTCTCTCACATGATCTTGAGCTACGTGAAATAGATAAGCTATTTGTTAATAGCTAGTGACTACTCTCTCTCTTACTTTTCCCCTGTCCACGTCATAATAGTTAGCCAAATAGCTAACCATTGGAGACGCCCTTAAAGTATACTAAACTACAATAAATGTTTAGACAATATCTAAAATAATGTGGAAGTTATTTAGCATAAAATTTCTACAAAAATTAATGCAAAAATGAGAGGGAAAATTCCAGCTGCTTCAGTTTAATATATATATAGATGCATTAGTATATTACCAATTTGACATTAAAAACATGTGAAAGTAAGAGTTTTTTAGGTAGTTCATTTTTTAATTAAAAATAAAAATAAAATATGATGTGTTTTAGTGTATTACTAATTTGTCATTAAATTTATGTCAAAGTAAGGGTTTTTTAGGTATTATGAATTTTTACAAAAACACTCCTCCTTTTTAAAGTAGTATAGATATAGATATAGATATAGATAGGTATAAATTTTTACTATTTCCTGATGCAATTGGTAAGAACAATTCGTTACTGACTATATTTTCAGCCAATAATGATGACAAAAAGAAATTAAATTACAACAAGTTAATTTGCACATGCAAAAAGAACCTTGCTTCGTGCATCCAATCCAATGTGTTACTTAGTATACACAATAAAAACATGGTAATGTTTTCCGGTGGGGAGCACAATTTCAGCATGAACTATGATACTGTTATATGTGACTGTGGGAAAACTATGACCAGAGAAACAGAATTAAGATCATCTGAGACTATTGAAGATGGTGATGATCATGTTTTTTGCACGAAAGATGCTTCCTTTATAATCAGTGATGATATGCGTGTGGCGCCTTATGTGGTCGGGTCGGTCTTGAGAATTCTTGTGCAACTTGGTATTACGGACTCCAAAGGGGCCGAGATGAGGAGCGTGACGTTCGGATATAATGAGGTGAGTCTTGATTCTTTTGTAATGAACTTCATTAAAATTATGTGTGTTGAGATGCTGTATTTGTTCTTTGAACTAGATTATAGATTTGCTGAAAGGCATGCTCGTATCACGGACTCCTTTGACCGATATCATACTCGGAAGAACTCAAAATAACTCTGAAGAAGTTCAGAAGATCAAATCTTCTGGAGTTTTTTTACCAAAGACTGACGAAGCAGCTGCTTCTAACTCTGAGAAGATGATGACACTAAAAGTTGTAATACAAAGATCTACACGAGTGTTTCTTTTTGCGCAAGCCAAGGGTGATTTTGCCGATTTTCTCTTTAGTTTGCTCACGATCCCACTCGGAGGAGCTTTGTCACTTCTGGCTAGTAGCACTGGTATTACAAGTTTAGATAATTTTTACATGAGTTTAGAAAATATTAATGGTGACGAGTACTTGAAGACTAAAAATACAGAGACCGAATTACGGAATACCCAGCTGCCTATCGGATATATGTCCCCAAACCAACTTCTCCCTCTGACCGAAAGAGGAATTTCTGAACTTCACTTTGTTGGAGCCTCTGCAGTTCCTGGGCATACTGATTATCTGTCTCCTTCAACAGTGACATATAGAACGTCTCATCTATATCTATACTATTATAAATCTATACTATTATAAAAGAGCCAATGAATCTGTAAAAATATAATATCCCTAAATTAACCTTACTTTGTCATGTTTATAATGTCAATCTTGTAATTTAATACCCCATTCTATACTAATAATTTTAATTAAACACATTCTAGATCTTGGGGTTTATCTATGTTGGTTTGGCCCAATTATCAATGCCGTCTAAGGTTTATGTATGTTGGTTTGGCCCAATTATCAATGCCGTCTATTTATCAAAATTTC